GGATGAGGTGAGGTGTGCGGGGGTGGGGGGTGCAGCAAATGTACAGAACATGCAAATATTTCTGTAAGAAAAGGGAAAATACGAATTAATTTTGTATTTGCTGTTATCTGCATAAAGAAACTGAAGGATACACAAGCCACAAGTAAAAATGTTTATTTCTGTAAAAGATGAGGCAGAGGGTGAGTGGGAGTTAGACTTTATTATACCTTTGTATAGTATTCTAATTCTTGAATTATGACTGCATTATCTATTCAAAAATGAAAATATTTTTTTGAAGAGAAGATGTACACTGTTAGGTAAGGGATAAATGAAACCTGATCTTGTTTAAGCATATTACATATGTGATTTCAGCCATCAAGTTTTAGCCGATGTGCCCTTTGGGTTAGGGCAGTGGTTCTCAACCTTCCTAATGCCACGACCCTTTAATACAGTTCTTCATGTTGTGGTGACCCCCAATTTCATTGTTACAAATTGAACATAATTAAAGCATAGTGATTAATCACAAAACAATATGTAATTATATATGTGTTTTCCGATGGTCTTAGGCGACCCCTGTGAAAGGGTCTTTCGACCCCCAAAGGGGTTGCGACCCACAGGTTGAGAACCGCTGGGATAGGGTCATTTGCAGGACCATATATTTTGAGGAGGAAGGTGATAATCCTAGAATTAGAATCTGTATGGCAATTTAAGTTCTAACCGCTTTGGTAGGAAATTGGAAAGGCAAATCTGCATTTAAACTGTTTAACTTGTTCTGACTTCTTGGATTTTTTTAGAAAAACTCCTCTCTCCCCCAAGTAATTGAAAACCTTAAAACAGGATAGTCATGATTCACAGTGGAAATCTCTTGCTGATGCCTCAGTGAATACAGTGGGAAAGTGAACTCAAATTATGGTCTTAGCCTGTTTCTATTTAAGTTTGCATCCTGGAGAAAGTGTTGTATAGTCTGTGCTTTTATTTTTACAGGAGCAGAAAAATTCAGATTAGAAACATCCCTCCTCACCTGCAGTGGGAGGTAAGCCAGTGTCACTTCTGTTTTTACGGTCCTCTCGCTTTCCTTCCTCTTTTAGTTCCCTTTCACAGTTAGGAACTGGAGGTCCTCAGACTGGCTCCACCTTTCCCAGTGCCCTAATGTGCACGATCTGCCATGAGTTTGGGGTGGTGTCTGACCCTCTCATCATGCAGAATGTGCGGGTCGATCTCTCAGGTCCTGCATTCTCAAGCACCAACAAACTGTAAAACAAAATGTATACCGGGTTTGTGATTTTTTTTAAATATGTTTCTTAAAATTGATTTCAGAGAGAGGAAGGGAGATAGAGAGGGATAGAAACATCAATGATGAAAGAGAATCATTGATTGGCAGCCTCTTGCACACCCCTCTTGGGGATCGAGCCCACAACCTGGGCATGTGCCTGGACCGGGAATTGAACCGTGACCTCCTAGTTCATGGGTGGATGCTCAACCACTGAGCCACACCGGCCAAGCATGGTTAGTGATTTTTATCTCATAATTTTGTAAACAATTTTTACCTTTCTAAATTATGATTTTTTTGGGGGGGGGGAATCCATGGAAAACCAATAGTTTTGTTAGATTGAGCAAGTTTTTTGTTTATTTTGAATTAACTGCTATGAATAACAGTTAAAATATTTTCTGAATTGTAAAAACTTCTTATAAGATTGCTACCTTCAAATAAATGGACATAGGAACAGACTGACAGAGGTCAGTGGGGAGAGGGGTGGGAGACTGGATAAATGAAGGTGAAAAGAGTAGCCAAAGAACATACATGCATAGCCCTTCGACACATAGCAATGGCGAAGGCCAGAGGAGGGGTGGCGGGAACTGGATGGAGGTGGGCAAAGGGGGGCAAATGGAAGACATCTGTAATAGTGTCAACAATAAAGAAATTTAATGCCCTGGCCGGTTTTGCCCACTGGTTAGAGTGTTGGCCCGAGGATCAAAGGGATGCAGGTTCGATTCCTGGCCCCGGTCATGGTGCAAGTGGGAGGCAACCAATCACTTTGTCTCTCTTGTGTCAATATATCTTTCTCTCTCTCCCCCTCCTCTCCCTCCCTCCCACTTTCTGTAATAAAAACATCAATGGAAAACATATCCTCAGGTGAAGAGTTTAAAAAAATTAAGTAAATAAGATAGAATATGAGGAGTGGCATTATTGTATTATTTAAAAACAATATTGCCAGAACCGGTTTGGCTCAGTGGATAGAGCGTCGGCCTGCGGACTGAAAGGTCCCAGGTTCGATTCCGGTCAAGGGCATGTACCTTGGATGCCTGCCCCGTGATGTACAGTCCCTTTCCACAACGTTGGAGAGAAAGCCAGGCCTTGAGTCTGCGCCTGCATATTCCTACAACTTCTCAGAGTCCTGTGGACGATGACTGAGGAGATAAACCATGCAGGAAACATCTACTATGGGGAAAAAAGGAAAAATAAATAAAATAAAAACAACATGCCTGATAGTTTATTCCCCAACCCAAATGAAATAAAGATGGCTATAAAGGAAAGGCAGTGTTCTGTCTAATATATTCATTACTTCAAAACTTTTTTTAAAAAATGTGTTTTTATGGATTATAGAGAGAAAGGGAGAGGGAGTGAGAGAAACATTGATGAGAAAGAAACAGCAGTCAGCTGTCTCCTGCACACCCTCCACTGGGGGCGTGTCCTAACTGGAAATTGAACCTGTGACCTCTTGGTGCTTGGGTCGACACTCAACCTCTGGGCCACACCAGTGAGGCAATATTTTCATTACTGTAAAAAAAATCTTTTTATTATGGAAAATGTCAAACATACACATCCTCCTGTTCTGTAAAAGAAGGAGATTCCTAGAGAAAACCAAAGGAACAATGGTTAAAGCTTCCAAGAAACAGTGAGCCTTGTCCTTGATTCTGCTCTCATTTCAAGAGCAGAAAATAGGTTCCAACCATCAGAATGAACGTGATTTACAGTTACTGAGACTGAAATGCTGGTGTCATGTCAGGGGACAGATTACTTGAAACCCAGGAAGCACATGAAAGTCCCACATATTTATTCAGGTCCAACTGTTTTTATGGAAGACTTGAAATATCAATTTAATTGTGTTAGTCCTGTCACCGTCCTTGTTTTGCTGTGGTGCATTTGCTTGGAGGGAGCACTGCACCGTTTCTGTGAGTACAATCTTGTGTTCCCATCCTGACATTGAAGCTTTCTCTTTCAGGTCTTGGATGGACTTTTGGCTCAGTATGGGACAGTGGAGAATGTCGAACAAGGTAATAAGTGAGGAAATTAGCCAACTGAATTTGGAGAGGGATGTTATCTATTATTTCTTGTAGGTTGGGTCCACTCCTGGGGAAATAATAAGTTCAAACTCCTTTGAAACAAACAAGCTTCTTAGAGTATATGTTTGTGTATCTGTGTGTGAGAGATGTCTATATATAACCTATCTATCCATATCTATATAATTTGTTTTTTCAAGGAATATGATTTTCAGGCTATTTTTTAATACTCTGTAATGGGCTCAAGCATTGGACAAACACTGTCAGGCTGGGATACGCGTAATTCACTTGGAAGTAATTGGATTTACACTATTACAACAACTTCCTTCTTCCTGGCTAAAAATAACAATCTTGGACCGAGTGTTTCTCAAGAAGTAGAACTCCTACGCCAGAATCCTCTGGAGTGGTCGTAAAAATGCATATTCCTCGGGCTCCCCCTAGACCTACAAACAAGACCTTCTGGGGCAAGAGTTCATGCATCTGTATTTTAAACAAGTACTCCCACGTGATTTTTGTAGGCACTCAACTTAGAAAGCCACTGTCTTGGGAACAGTGTAATAAATGCCCACGAAATACATACTCTTCTGCCTCCCTTATTTATTTATTTTTTAAAATATATTTTCTTGATTTTTTACAGAGAAGAAGGGAGAGGGATAGAGAGTTAGAAACATCAATGAGAGAGAAATATTGATCAGCTGCCTCCTGAACACCCCCCAGTGAGGATGTGCCCGAAACCAAGGTACATGCCCTTGACCGGAATCGAACCTGGGACCCTTGAGTCCACAGGCCGATGCTCTATCCACTGAGCCAGACCGGTTCGGCTGCCTCCCTTATTTTTACTTTTTCCTTCTAAAACATGATGTGGGTTAGAGAGCGATTGGAACACTCCCTGGGCAAAGGCCAGGGCTGGGCTCACGTTTATGACGTGTAAATCTCCGTGACCATTCCTCCCTAAGGCTTACACGTTCCCTAAAGGGTCAAGGCTGTGGCTACTTTGAAGTTATGGGATAAACTATATTTTTAGCAGTGGGCTTTAACCTTTTTGAGAATCTGATGGAAATTATAAACCAGGAAAATTCATATATCCACAAATTTGAATCTTTGGGTGAGGTAGGAAGAGTCAGGTCATAGAATTCCTAAAGCTCCAGTATAGTTCTAAGATTAAGAATCCCTACACTATAGGGTCTTATTATTACTTTGAAAAGGAGCTTTATTGTGGTTTTCTTGAATTATTAGCCTTAACTTCATGTATTTGTTAACTCCAGGTCTCCCAGTAGCTTAAAACATTTGAAGGGAGGGTTTGATTTAGTCATGTCTGCTTGTTTGTTTGTGGTTTTTTGGGGGGTGTGGGGGCGGGAATCAGTATTTTTGCTTTAAGTTTACTAGCTTGAATTGAACAAATTTTATCTTTCCTTTTGAATTTATTTTCAACTGCTGACTTTGGATGAAGAAGCAAATGAAAGACGATAAGCCAACTCACAAAATGATTTCTTATTAGCCATCCTTAGAGTTTGTGTTCTCTCCTTTAGCCAAGTGAGTCGGGATTGTCAGTTTGCTTTAATTATTGTACACAGTTACTAGGTTTAACTCCCACAGTCAAGGAGTTCTGTCAAAGGGAAACAAAAGAAGTAATTCAACCTTATCAATGAAAGAAAAATAAAAATAAAAGTACTTTCTTATTTTTCATAAATGTCCAATTATTTAAAACTAAATGCAAATTATAACAAATAAAATTTATACCTTGATAGTGGTATAATAAATTGATACAAACTTTTAGGAAAGTAATTTGAAATTATACATTAAAAGCATTATGTTCTTTTACCCAGTTTATTTTTTCTTTTGTGATTGGCTTAAAAAAGTAACTCAAAAAGCCTAAAATTAATGATGTTTGCAACAAATATGGTTTTCAGCAACACTTTTTTTCAGAATAGCAAATACTGAAAACAATTCACTTGTCAACATTTGAGGGATGATCAGGCAAAAATCATGACACAGTTGCCCTAGCCAGTTTGGCTTAGTGGATATAGCGTCGGCCTGCGGACTAAAGGGTCCCGGGTTCGATTCCGGTTCTCGTGCAGGAGGCAACCAATCGATGTGTTTCTCTCACATCGATATTTCTCTCTCTCTTTTCCTCTCTCTTCCACTTTCTATAAAATCCGTGGAAAACTATCCTCAGGTGGGGAATGAAAAAAAAAATCATGGCACAGTTATTGCCATTTTATGTAGGCATTAAAAAAATACAAGAAAATGTACAAGTAACTATGCAAAAGTGTTTAAAAAATAAGTGGAAATACAGGTTTGAGTTATATATAAATTGATTACAAATATGTAGATTCAATTGGTTACAAGTCATTATGAATATAAATAAATAAATACAGAGATTCAAGTAACTCTAGAGTTAGGGCAGTGAATTATTTTGTGCATTTTTCTCTAAAGTAAGCCTGTTTACTTTGAGCCAGAGGGCGACAGCTTTTTTCTCTATGACAATGTAGTTTTTGCTTCTTCCCCAGTCAACACAGACACAGAAACTGCCGTTGTAAACGTCACATATTCGACAAGAGAAGAAGCAAAAATGTAAGTGCATTTGGGCTTCCTTAAAGTTTCTGAATGGTTGTCTTCGAATTCCATTGAGTCCTGTGTTCATAAACCATTTTGAAAAGATGCAGACCTTTGATGTGTCGCTGGAATTCCAGAGCATTTATACCAGGATGTCTCTTTGTTGATTGCACAGAGACTGTATCTTGAGAAATATTGAGCTGTGGCATCAAAACCGAGGTGGGGGTGTTCTTGGCCTGGTCAGGAATAGAGCACCGGCTGTGATGCAGTGGCCGGGACTCTGCTCTGCCACGGGAGCCACTTCCAGCTGGAGCTTCCTCCAGGCACCGGATGAAGCAGCACAAACCTTATTTTTTACCCACACTAATTGAATGGACACTCCAACATCCATTTTTCCTCTGTTGAAGGGGGATCCACCTCTGACATCCGCAGCAGGGAGAGGTGCCTGGAGGATAGGAATCAAGGAGCATCTGGCTTGGGTTCTTTTTCCTACCCCCATTCACTCCCTAGTCCCCCTTCGTGACTAAACGGCTTCAGGGGAGGTTACCTTTGAGCTTGACCATTAACGGATGTGGGATTGAGGTTTTCAGAAATACAACAAAAATAAGTTCCTTTTTATAGGAAGTTCTTGAAGGTCACTGTAACTAGAATAGGGTCATGCTTGGTTATATATCCCAGGAATACAGATTTCTTTTGCAAGGTTTCAACACACATGAAGACTGTATATAATAGTAAAAGGTTGGAATAATATACACACACACACACACACACAGACACATATATAATTTTCATACCGGTGGTTTTTAAAAAGTTAATTTTGTATTGGAAGAGGCAGTAATTCATTTGCTACTGACTTTTGCACACGTCTATACCAATAACTCACCTTTGCAGTTCTTGTCCAGCTGCCACTTTGGTAGGACCTTTCTACACATTACTTTGCTGCTTTTATTGAATTCAAAAGGTGCTTTGCAATAAATTCACAAACCCTACACGTTAAGCTAGTTCAATAGGGTTATTATTTTCACAGGCTGCCGAAAGCATGTAAAAAAAAATATGTTCCACGTCATGTATAATTTTTAGAATGCAATAGTGGGCTATTATTTATTCCCTCTCAAATGAATAAGTATTTTTAGATAATAATATTTTGTGCTTTTGAGGACTCAAGGAAACAAATGCTCTTTTAACTGCTATAGGATAGTAAATGTTGACACCTATCCAAACGGACACAGGGTCATGCTAATGTTAGAATTCTGCAACTCCACTAGGAATTCATCCTGTGTGCACAGTTGTAGTTGCACAGATGCCCATGGCAACATTGTATAAACTAGTAAAAGGCTGGACTTCATCCTATATCATAAAGAGCTAAATGGTTGTCACGCCCTGGCTCCCTTGCACCAGGGCTGGGGGACCTGAGGCTGCGCCCCCCTCGCCCTGCAGGGCTTGATGGGGGTGGGGCCGGCCAGGTCTGGGTCTTGCACAATTTCGAGGCACATGCAGGTGGGCGAGGACTTGACTCTGGGTCCTGCGGCACGTCCCAGACTCTGATGGGGGAGATTTTCGTATACGTTTTACCAATTTTCTTTCATCTCTGACACTTCTATTATAGAGAAAGGGCAGATAGCAATATTAAAATATTTCCTCTAATTCCCTTTTGATGTGTATGAATTTCGTGCACC